GAGACATACATGAACTGTTAGTTAAGTTAGCCTGGGACTTCTCCCCCGACCAGTTGGACCACTTGTTTGGCTGCTTTCAGAAGAGCTGGGTAGGAGCTAGCAAGAAGCAAAGAGATGAACTGTTGGACTTTATAAGACACTTAGCAGAGGATGACAAGGAAGGGATAATGGCCAGTAAAGTGCTGGAGCTATTGTGGAACCTGGCCCATAGGGACGACTGTCCACTAGATACTATGGAACACGCTATGAATGCTCATATCAAGATACTGGACTACTCCTGCTCACAGGTAAGGGAATACTACATGGACTGGCATATAGTGTATACATGTACCTACGTGTGCATGTACATGTATAATGGTATGAGTACTATATGTACATTTGTGCATGTATACTTTTAGCAGCTTCGATAATTCATAATTTTCTACTTTTGATCATGAAACATTCAGATATACCCTATAGTTGGAAATTTTAGAGGGAGTTAAGTTTGGTGAATTTGGCGTTTTGATAGTCATTTACCAAAGAATCTGCCTTTTTGAGCCATTATGCGCATGCTCAATGGCACGTGGCCACAAATTTGTCAACTTAAAATTCACTAATCACCAAAATTTATCAATTCGCCAAATTTAAACTCTCTCCTGCTATACAATACATGTACATGTACATGTTAATGAAACACACACCAGGAAAATGGATGCTTACTAAAATTTGAGCTCATTCCAATTATCAGCTCAAATTTACTTAAATATACAAACATAAATCTACAGCACATGTACATTCATTCATAGTAGTACTACATCAGTACTAGTTACAGTTCATTATCCAGTGTGTGTGTGTGTGTGTGTGTGTGTGTGTGTGTGTGTTACATTATCGCATTGATCCTCAGGACAGGGAGAGTCAGAAGTTACAATGGCTGACCCACTGTGTGGAGGAGGTCAATGAAGGGACCCAATGGGTTATACCAGCTCTTAAGCAAATGAGAGAAATATGTCTCCTTTATCTAGAGGTAAGGGATATTCATTAATCATTGATACTATTAATCCTTTTCTCTAATAGTCTCCAGTGAATTACTCTTCAGTCCATCACCCGACCTCACGGTTTTATTACCGTAATGAGATCATTAGTCACTTGGACCAGAACTATCACCTCCTCTCACAGATCTGCTCCAACCTCAGCCAATACATGATGAAGATAAAGGAGATTAAAGAAAGTAAATAAATAAATAATAATAACAAACATTAATTACATATACATATTTATTCATTTATTTATTTATTGCATTGTTAGAGTCACCTGATATTGATCCTGATTCATACTGTATTGATGATCGGTTCAATCATTATCAGCAGTATCAGATCAGACTGGACTTCATCAGGTAATCATGTACAGTACACCATTCATTAATAATAATATTATTATTATCATTTATTGTGTTCTTCAGGTTTGCATTAAAAGATGGTCAGTTATGGCTAGGACTCAGTCAAGCACTAATGGTAAGTGTACATGTACATTTCTAACTTACTATAATTCATATAATACTGGTAGAAGGGGGATATTTTCCTACCTTTATAATTTAATTTTTAAATTGTTACATGTTTTTATTTACAATTTACATGTGAGCTACTATAACAAAAATTAACTGGTTTTTAAATTTTACCTCTTTCTTTTATCTTAAAATTAAAGTCACTTTAAGATACCGTAGAGCGGGAAAAGTTGGCGGCACTTTATTTTGGTGATTTTGCTGTAAAATTGTAATTGGCAGTTTTTAATTTGGTGATTTTTGTGTACACGTGCATTACTGAGCATGCGCATTAATGATTGGTGGTTTTAATATTGGGGATTCTGCTTGCAAACCACCAATCGCCAAAATAAAACTCTACCAACTTTTCCCACTATATGGTATTCTACTTTTCCATTTCCATGTACACGTATACATGTACATGTACACGTGTACATGTATTATTATTATACTCTTCTCCAGGTATGGGACAGTATGGTAGTCAAAGCAGTGTTTCCGTCTGATAAGGACGCCTGCTTCAAATGGTTTGCTAAGGTTAGTCCAGTGGGTGTGGTCAGGTTATTAAGCCACGCCCCTTTAGCTTGCAATGTGGGAGGAGCCAGACATAGAGCCGGAGACAGCTCGGAGGATATTCACTGAAAATATACTCAACCTCACTCCATCATCACTCACTGACTGTGGGTTTAGGTGCTTCGACAGGTTCTTTAGGATGGTCAATCACAACCAGTCAAGACTCTCCAAATGGAACAGAACCTCCTTCATCACAGAAAGCATCGATCTGATTGGTTAGTCCCGTTGCCTAGCAACTGTTGTCGTGGTGTCTGTCGTCATGGTAACCTTTGTTCGTACAGGTCTTGATTACCTGTGGGACTGCGTCCTTCAAGTTAATGACAGCATATCCTCCAAACCCATTGAACTCATGAAGGATATATTCACTAACCTCTCCTCCAAACTACCTCAGGAACAAGTAATGGGTTGATGTGTAGATTATATACATGTACATTGTAACTGTACAGTTATAAATTAACTAATGCTCCAATTTTTAATTGTACTGTATAGCTAGAATCTTTTGTGAATTTTGCAATTTATTCAATCTGCAAAAATCAATTTAATACGGTTTAACATGGCTAAAAGGCAGAAAATTATTAAAATTAAAACCACGAAAAAGATTTTTGGCTGAAATTGTAAAATATTTGAGCCATACAAATTTCTTTCTATACGGTATTAAATTTTACTGATCATGGTCTATTAAAAATTCATATTTTAATATTATGATTGATTCCTCCTATCATGTATAGATCCACCAGGAGTTCATCAGTGTGTGTATGCAGAGAATGGATATCATTAATAAAGTATTGTACCAGTATAAGCCTCATGAACTAGTGACTGAGGCTTCTGATCAAGTAATGAATATTAATAATAATAATAAATAATAATAATAATAATAATAATAATAATAATGATAATAATAAATAATACAATTACTATTACCATTGGTGTAGGTTAATAAGCTTGTTAGGTGTTTAAAGCTGCTGCTGGAGTATATTGTGGAGTGTGACAATGAACACATGGAGGAGAGAGGGATACCACCTCATGGGAAGTGAGTTGGAACAATATTATTGATGCATTTATTTATTTACTTGTTTATTTATTTATTTATTTGTTTTTATTTATTTATTTATTTATTTATTATTCTTACCAGGTCCTATTGGGGTAAGCCCCTCTCATTAACCATCAGATATTGTTCAACTCCAAACTCACAACCTGAGGACTTTGATATATGGACCCATCATAATGACACCATAGCATCACTGAGGAGACAGATAGCAAGGAAGTATGGGAACAGTAACAATGTATTAACTGATGTATTAACTGATGTATGGTGTGTATTGGTATGATTGGTAATGTGTGTTGTAAGTGATTTTATAGTTACTTGTATTAAGAATTAGAAAATGTAATAAAAATTTGGGGTGATTTTGGAGCCATTTTTGTAGAAAAAACCATGGGCTATAGCCTTGGGTATTTTTCAGAATTTTAGCATTTTCTTAAAATGGCCGTAACTCTAAAGCATTGACTATAGCCTGTGATATTTAAAGTCCTAGTACATGTACAGTACATTGTACATGTAGTCACGTATGCTTGTTTATTAATTCTCTGTCTCTCTCTCTCCTTCCCCAGAATCAATGTTCATGATTCCTCAAAGTTGGAGTTGGTCGTTGGGAATGAGATCATTCGTAAAAATGAGAACTACAGATATGTCATTGCAGCCAGCATACCTCTGAGGGATAAAATGGTAACAACACCCTCCACTAATGTAACACAATATTAACACAACTTTAACACAGTTTACTACAGTTAGCAACATGTTTTTAACACACTTTTAACCTACAGTATCATTACTGATTCAATTTTAACACACTCTTAACACACTCCTACTATTATTCCCAGTGCATTATTAACACATACTTAACACACTCTTAACCCACCCACAGGTTGTCACAGTGAGACTGCACCAGTACAGTAACATCAGCGAGACCTCAATGCAATCTTCTGATAATTCAACTGATTCATCTGATGCTTCCACTGGCCAGCATGATGGGCCTAACTTTGATACTGAGAAGGTTCTACCATCAGTCGTAAGTACATGTACACCTAAATGTATATACATGTATGCTCTATTTTGATTGGTCGGAAAGACATATTGTACATGTATAAAGCCCAGGTGATAATTATACAATTTTAGATGAAATTGTCACCTATTTTGATGTGATATTAAATTTTGATTATTAATTATTATAAATTATATTATTAGCTAATGGCTGATAAAGATGACTATATTGATTTCTTGCTTCGATTGTGTGATTTTGCTGTTGAGCGTCAGCTAGTGATCCTGAGAGATAACGTTAGGAGTTTATTGAAATTACTACCCACAGGTAAGGGGGCGTGGTCAGGAAGTAGGTGTGGCCAATAATTAATTGTCATAATACACATATACACATGTATTAATGTGGATCATTATTAGGTATTAGGTTACTTAAGGAGATGTTGATATTTTGTAAGGAGAAATCAACTGAAGAGGATCGTTATAAACAACTTGAATCATTTGTACTTTGTGGTAGCCCTTCAAAAACTGTATACCTAATTGAGGTATTATTATTATTATTATTATTATTATTATTATTATTATTATTATTATTAATAGATTATTCATTCCATGATAATGCCATCAGTTGATAATCGTGATATTGAGAGCTCAGAGTTCCAGCATAACTTCATACTGTGTGGTGGACTGAAGCTAATGTTTCATGTACTCACTTCTAATGACTGTCTCTCTAGAGCTGACAACACACTCAAGAGGTAACTAGTTGGAAGATATACATGTACTTGTAATTGTATTTACATGTACATGCAGCTTTACTGTACATGTACATGTAGTAGGATTTTTATTAATTATTATTTTTATGATATTTGGAAAATTGCACCATTTCTTACTGGAATTACACACGTGTTTCCTACTATACAGTACATGTATTTTAATGAATACATTTACAATTTTACATGTACATGTACATGTACATGTACATGTACATGTATTTACGTTAATATTCATGTGAGCTGACAACACACTCAAGAGGTAACCAGTTGGAATATACATGTACTTGTACATGTAATTGTATTTATATGTACACGTACAATGTACCTGTGATCATGTACTGTAGTAAGACGCTTATCAATTATTATCTCATGATATTTGGTAGTTGTAATAGTTTAGGATGTGAAGAATAATACAAAAATGGAGTGAATAATTTCTAAAATTTCTTGTGGGACATTTTATCTTATACATGTAATCACCTCATGAAATTGTGCTATTTCTTCCTTAACTTAATTCATACTCTACAGTACAGTACATGTCTATTTTAATGAATACGCGTATTACGTTAATATATTCATGTACATAAATTATAATTCTCTCTCCAGGTCAGCTTACCTCAGTTGTCTTAAAGTGTTAAAGTTACTCCTGGTAGCACAGGGCTACTCCTTCATACTCTCAGTATCACAAGAAATAAAATCAAACACTGGTAGGTAGTATACTGAGTTATACTAAAATATACTGAGGTACCGCAAATGTTCAAATAAAAGCCCAGGCGTTTATTTCTTTCCAGGACAAAAAAATTGCGTAAAATAAAATTTAAAAAGTAAAACCAGGATTCAAACCTGGACTTATAGGTTCAACATCTTCAGCTTAACAAGTTAGGCCATTTGGGACACTCTAAAGATTGTGGTACTTATATTGAGTAAAATATGCGTAACTATACTTGGAGATTCTTAGTACCAAGTGTTTATTCAAGCCCGGCCTTTATTTGAACATTTACGGTATACTGAAATATACTGAGTCATATTGCACACTACATGTACATGTATGTTTTACTGAGTTATACTGAGTTATACTGAATTATACAGAGGCAATGAGAGGTCCCAGATACAAGTCAGCAGTTGGTATCCAAGAGGCTATGAGCACCATAGTATCCACTGTTGATACTAAACTAAAGACTGTGGCAACCATACTGGCCAAATCACTCTGTACCAATGTAAGTATACCTTATTTATTGCTTTGTTTGTTTACTTGTTTGCTTGTTTATTTATTTATTTATTGTTATTATTAGTTGATGAGTCCCCTACCTGATGTTGATGTCATTGTTTCATTACAAATGTTGATATGGTCCAGTATCATTGGAGATATATCATTAATGAATAAACCTAATGAGATTCACAAGGAATTTGAAAAGGTACAATAATCATACAGATACTAATACATGTACACAATATAACCTCCTCCTATTGTGGAGACTCTAAAATAAGGACACCTCTATAATGAGGAGGGGTAGTATCAGTCCCAATACAATAGTAATGTGTATTAATGAACCTCTGAAATAAGGACAGGTTCATAATCAGGAGGCTCTAGGGTATTATTGGGTACCAAGGTGTCTGGTTGACTGTATAACATTGATTAAGATCAATCAGTTTACACAAGTACATAGTGTTAACCACATTGGGAGGACAACCCATGATAGCCTTTTACAAATAACTGACTATAAAACGAAGTCCTAGTTCACTACTTCGCTCCATTATCGGCAGTTTTGGCACTAGTTTTTTATCAATTTTTGAATGGGGATACTACATTAGTAGCCCCTACATACTTTAAATCTAACTTGAATACATGTTAATAATGCAGCTAACCCTCTAAATTTATAATTACAAATTATTATTATTATTATTATTATTATTATTATTATTATTATTATTACCATTCCTTATTCCTTCTCTAGAGGTGTGTATCGGGTCCATTGGATTCAGAGGTGCTCCAGTTGATAAGAGAAGGACTGGAGACCCTCTCCCTCTCAATGGCAGTCTCTAACACTATACTGGACACCCACCACACCACTGAGCCATGGAAACAATTCATCATTGATATTGTACTCACTGCCAGGAACAGGTTAGGGGAGCTTTCTGTTATGAAAGTCTGTATAGCGGGAAAATTTTGTGGATTTTGCTTTGTTTTTTTTCTCCAAAATTTACGGAAATAAAATCTGCAAAAATTGATTTATTACGGTTCAAGATGGCTGAAAAGTAGAAAACCGCAAAAAATCAAAACCACAAAATTGATTTTTGAACGGATCAGTGAAATTTTTGGGCCACGACAGTTTTCTGCTATATGGTAGTTGTAATGGACAGGTTGGTTGATTTATAAGTAACTTACTAACTACCAAGCTTACCAGAAGGTTAATGTATTATGTACATGTGCATGTACTTGTACATGTATTAATTTCTGGACGATTAATTTTACTAACATGCATTAAGCTATTGACCTCCTGTTTAAAAATGAATGGAAAATGTTGCTAAATGTTACCAAGTACAAATGAGCTTATCAACTTTAGTATGATGAATATCACGGATATACATACATGTATTGTACATATTGTATTTCCTCTAATAGAGGCCCTACTCAAATAAATGCCTATTACTAATATATTACCAGTATAGATACTCATATTTCACCCAATGTTATGTACACTTGTGTTTAGAGTGGTCCAAATAGCCTAATAGTTCATCCTCAGTCTTTAGAACATATAGTTGCGGGTTTGAGCCTGGATTTTTGGAAATTTTAAATTTTTTGTGATTTTTGCCTCTGCTAAGCAATAAACGTCTAGGGCCTTATTCAAGGAAATACAGTACATCTACATATGATACAATGATACTTGCTATTATAATGTGCATTATTATTATTGTTGTTGTTATTATTATTATTATTATTATTGTTGTTATTATTATTATTTTTTAGGTTAATAAGGATGACAGCTCAGGATCAGTTGTTCAATATAATCACTAAATGTTGCACTGACTCGGTCCCAGTATTGATCAGCACTATCAAACTACTCTTCAACGCTTTAGAGGTACACGTACATGTACATGTACATGTACATGTACATGTACATGTACATGTACTAATTTATTTATTTATTTAATATTTACTTATTTTATTTATTTATTTATTTATTTATTTATTTATTAGACTATAGTTAGTGATCATTCTTCAACATCAAACGAATTCTTCAGATTATTAGCAAGGTATGCCGGCTCATTAATATTCATTGATCTCATTAATATTCGTTGATTAGGTTAATTAACCACGCCCACTGTCACCAGGTATCAGTTGATGGTATTCAGAAGTTGTTGGATATTGAACTGAAGTGGCTGGAGGGAGTGAGAGTAAGTGCATCATGTGACAGTCATGTGACCTATAGTATACATGTACATGTACCATATGGACTGAAAATAAATTCTGATAAATACCCAAGGCTCTAGCCCATGGTTTTTTCCAAAAAATGGCTCCAAAATCACCCCAAATTTTTATTACATTTTCTGATACATATTGATGTACTTATGCTGTGTAGCAAATTTGAGCCGATTCCGACTTCAATTTTTCGAGTTACGACCATTTTAAGAAAATGCCAAAAATCTGAAAAATACCCAAGGCTATAGCCCATGGTTTTTTCAAAAAATGGCTCCGAAATCACCCCAAATTTTTATTACATTTTCTGATACACATTGATGTCCTTATGCTGTGTAGCAAGTTTGAGCTGATTCTTACTTCAATTTTTCAAGTTACGGCCATTTTAAGAAAACGCCAAAAATCTGAAAAATATCCAAGGCTATAGCCCATGGTTTTTTTTAATGGCTCCGAAATCACCCCAAATTTTTATTACATTTCCTGATACATATTGATGTTATTATTATTTATTATTATTATCAATAGGTTAATTCCTTGTCCAGTCAGTCTGTGGTGGTGGAGGGTCCATTATTGGAAGGTCATTTGAATCTTATTGTGGAGCTGCTGACGTTTTCCTCAATTGAAGAGAGACACAGTTTAGGGAGTAAACCAGGGGGAATGAACCTCATACCTGTAAGGACACTGTACCTGTGAATTATTACATGTGTATTTAATACTGTTGTACATGTGAATTACTAGTTAATACTGTTGTACCGTATAGTGCTTTAATTTTGCGGAGCTAAAATTTCGCGGATTGATAAAAATCAATTTTTCGCAGAAATAATTTTTGTGGATTCGCAATGTTAGTGCCACACCTTTAATGGCAATTGAAATTTTAGCAGATCTTTAATTTCGTGGTTTCATGCAAACCGCGAAAATAGCGAAAGTTTAGCTCCTCGAAAATAAAGCGCTATACGGTACTTCTACATGTACATGTATGCATGTAAATACAGTACTTATAGATGTACATGTACTTTTATAAGATTTAAACTGTGGTACATGTTCATGTGGAATAGCTTTTGGAATGATAGCTTGGCATAATATTGCTTTTTTTCAGCAATTCCACTTTTTATGTAAATTCTTTTTCCTTTCTCAGAACCTCATCAATCATTTCTTGTTTCCTGCATCAAGATTAGTGAAGAAACTAAAGACTACACCTGGTAATGACTGATACATTATATTTATTATTATTATTATTATTATTATTATTATTATTATTATTATTATTATTATTATTATTATTATTAATAGATCTACAGTACAATGATGAGTTAGCCAGTGGTATATGCTCCAGTCCTGACAGTATTCAAGCTTGTTATAAACTATTGAATGCACTGTGTGTTGGAGTGAAGGAGAACATTGAAATACTCAGTGAACTAATCTCTGATATATTCTACAATGGTGAGGCTATTACTACTAGTATTAGCATGAACAGATAAATTACTGTATAAGTGGTTTTTTTTGAGGGAATTATTATTTTGGGAAATCTGCTAAATTTGGCTAAATTTCTAATTTGTGGATTTTCAATTTTGCAAGTTATACATGCACAATGTGCCATGTGGGTACTGTATTAAATTGATTTTTGTGGATTTAATTTTCGCAAATCAGGAAGGAATTAGTGAAATCTACAAAATTTGCAACCCTTGAAAAAAACCACTTATACTGTACTTTATTTGTGAATGCATTAAAAGCCCAAACTCTAAAGGATTTCCTACATTTTTATTCTCCATTACCTCCAGATGAGCTTCCATTGGTGGAGTGGGAGTATTATCCTCACGTTGGTCCTCGACCCACTAGAGGGTATGTGGGACTGAAGAATGCTGGAGCTACCTGCTATATGAACGCTGTACTACAACAAGTAATACCTAATATATACATTTATTTAATTTTATTTAATATTTATTTATTAGTATGCTAGTATTATAATTATAGTTGATTATTTATTAATTTATTGTTTTGTTGTTTTGTAGTTGTACATGATCTCTCCGGTCAGAAATGGTGTCCTCTCGCTATCAGAGCCAGCAGTCCAGTTGATTAACGAAACTGACAAAACAGAACAAGACAATAAAGGAAAAGTAAGGAGACGTTACTATTTATAGAATAACAGATACTATTAATAGAACCAGGACTATTTTTGAATACCTTGCTTGCTTAGGCTCACCCATTAAATGTATTGTATTATTATTATTATTATTATTATCAACAACGGCAACAACAACAAAATAAAATAAAATAAAATAAAATAAAATGAAATAAAATAAAATAGAATTATTATTATTTATTATTATTATTATTATTATTATTATTATTAATACAATTATCTCTCCTCTATGCAGTCAGTAGATGGTCCACTGGTCCCTGCTAGTACTGACCGGAAGGAGACGCACATTAAGGTACTGATGCAACTACAGACCATATTTGGACATCTACTGGAAGGGAAGGTTCAATTTTATGTACCCAAAGGATTCTGGAAGGACTTCAGGTAATGAATATACTGTATCATACTGATGTGCTTTTATTATTTATTATGTACACTGTACATGTATTATGGTATTAGTATCCTTTATTAGTTTATATGGGGATGTATGGTACGTGTTAGATATTGAAATAAATTAAATTTTGTGGGACCAATCTAACTAAAACTGGTAGACTTAAGGACCCCTAGGGCTAAATATGAGAGACCAAAAGCTGAACAATGGGACAGATTTCAGGAGACCTAGGACCAAATATGGGAGACAAAAGTCTCCTAAACTCCCTCCAGATCTAGCAGTGATTATACATGTACATGTACTGTATAGCGAAAAATTTATGAGGGCTCTAAATTTCGTGGATTTCATGATTTTTTGAAGATTTGCAAAAATTACATGTACTTCCATGAAAATCAAGTTGTTACAGTACAAGATGGCAGACAGCATAAATTTATGAAAATTAAATCCACAAAATAGATTTTTATGTAAGTTTACAAAATTTACAGCCCTCGAAAAATTTTGCTTTATCCAACACATTATTTAATATTTCCCCTCCTCTACAGGTTGGAGGGTCAACAGGTTAATCTGAGAGAGCAGCATGATGCCTTTGAGTTCTTCAATACTCTAGTGGACAGTGTAGACGAGGGACTCAAGGCTTATAATGCCACACCAATCATCAGTAAAGTACTGGGAGGATCCTTCGCTGATCAGAAAATATGTAAAGGATGTCCTCACAGGTAGGGGCGGGGCAGTGGGTGGGGCTTACTAAATATATATTGTATTTAAATATAAATGTACATGAAAATTCATAAAGTAAAGAAATAGACAATGCATGCATGTAAAGTACTGTACTGTACAGCAGTTTTTCACTGAAATCTATAAATATTAGAAGACAAATTAATAAAACACTTAAACAACTATAATATTAGTACATATACGTAAAGTGTTATTACTATTCTATTTCATTTTTGTTGTTAGTCTTGTTTTGATAGAAAGTCACAAACTGTTTTCACTTCTTCTTGAGTAATACGATATTGAGCTCTTGCTTGTACATGTATCTCTGTACCTCTAAAATCCATAAATACATCGATTTTTCTCTTTTCCTTTGGTAGATCATTAGGATTAGGAATATCAAGTACTAGCTGGCCAATCTCACGTACTTTTAGTTTACGTTTTTTATCTCTTGTATACTGGACTCCATCATCTGGTGTACAGTATATAGGAATACATACTTGCGTCATGCTTTGAGAACCAGGTGTTATTGTTTCTTTATATACTTCATCCTTTATTTCTTCTCCTTTGAGTACAAATACTTCAAATACATTGCCACAACATTGTACGCCATCTTCATCTACATACTTGTAATGTTCATCATGTATTAATGGGTTGAATACAGTACCAACACTTGTCCCATAGGTAGCATCAGCAACACGTGATTGGATTATGTTAGGATCTTTCCTCCACGTCACTGCTCCTGTTACTACAGCAAGATCTGGTTTTATAGGGCACACTATATTATCATAAAGAATACCACGATGGTGAGCGATAGCTTCCTCTATCTTTTGACTAACAAACCTACAACCTCCAAACCCTCCTACTAGATAAACTGTATCTATTTGATCTGTTAGCTCATCAAATGCTGTCCTCACGCACTCTATGATCTTATCAACTGTTGATTTGAATACCTTCTCTTCCAACTGACAATAGTCTATTTCTAACGAACCATCTCCAGGATCATAATGCATGTCCATCTTCTTTGCTTCACGTAGCTTGTGGCTACCATAGAATCCTACAAAGGCTGGGGGTAGCGTCATTGATATTTCATTAATGCCTTCAGTCGTGTCACCAAATGTTTTTTTCTGTTCTTCAAACTCTCCATAGAAAAACTTATTCAGAGCAGGTTTAGCACGAGTTGGATCTGAATTTATGAAAGACTGGAAACCTTTGTCTTCCACTATCTCTTCCAGTATCATTGACAGTGCTTCATTGACAGTAGTACCTCCCCAGGTGTTACCCATTGGTGGTAATACTACACTAATTCTCCCATTACTCTTATCATGTACAGTAATATCAACTGTACCTCCTCCTATATCAACTACCATATATCTCTGTGGAGGTGTTCCTGATACTTCTGACTGATGCTGTGCAGCTATAGCAGCTACTTCTGGTTCTAGAGCTAATGATAGCTTCTCAGGATTAACCTCCTCTGGACGTGGTAAAGGAGAACCAACTGGAGTGAACCTTGTTATACCACAAGGAGCATCAGAAGTGAGACCAGCCTATCATATTAACATAATGAAATACAAAGCATGTATTAGGTTACCATATAAGCAGCTTCTCTCATCATTCTTCTTGCTCTTGCTTTCCATATAGCAGGAACAGTAATGACCCAATCAAAATCACTTGACTTGTAGTTTCTCTTCAGATGATCAGTCAGTAGCTTCTCCTTGAGGTGTGTTAGTATAAAAGCTATAACTTCAATGAGATAATAAGAACCACCAGTGAATGGAGAGACTTTAGTAGCTCGATGTAATGTCTAAAATAATATATAAACTTTAACTGTTAAAATTTGTTCCAACTCACTGTATCTCTCTCCAGTAAAGTCTTTATTCGCTCAAAATAAATAAAATTTTGAGCTCCTCTTTTTTTATCACCATAAATGCTCTGTGCCCTATATCCAATCCCAGTCACTTTACATTGCTGGTTCTCCTGGTCCTTCAGTATCATTAAAGCATTAGGTACCCTCTCATACGTGCTGTGTAGTGGTACTAGTTCGATCCGTCCATCTGTTGGAGTGGTGTATGCTACTGATAGTGATGAGGTACCAAAGTCAATAGCTGCTACATAACTGCTGCCTTGTAGTACTGGAGTGACTCTGTGTATCTTCTCAGCTTTTGCTAGTGGTGACAGTGGTCCCTTAGATAAAGCCATGATGAATGATACTACTGTAAGGGCTGCTGTGAGTCTAACTATGGTCTAACTTGTCACAATGACTAAGTACAATTAATGTAAACTGTCAATAGTAGAGTTGAAGGTGGGACCACTTCTTCTTATAGTGTTAAGCTAAGAGATAAGTGATAAGTATTGCTGTATCATTCTGTTAATAATCAGCAACACTTGCAGTGCATGTACTCTCAATTA